GGACGAAGTCGGGGGTCGATGGACATCTCTAGGACAAATGAAGGCTACACGAGCTACGGCCTGGTAGCCAAGATGTCATGGCACAGGGCCGGTGTCCTGCTGCTAGGGGCTCAGTCCTGCCTACCTGTCCCGGGGGTTCCGGCCGTAGGTGGGGTTGGGTCGGTACTCTTGTCTATGGCTAGGATGGGTTGGAAACTATGTCACGTCTTCCGTCCGTATACCGTGGTGGTATGCGGCACGTGGTTACACGTGAGGAAGATGTGTCTTGTGGGTAAAGATGTACACCTCTGATCAGAGTATAATCTATTCGAATAGCCGCGCCCTCGGTTATGGGCAAGCCGAGCAATGTACCCAAGTTAGTGTTTTAATTCTTAAAACCTGCTTAACAACTAAAATGTGGAATGGTTGGCCTGGGTTGGCTTGGGACGAGCTGGGACCCAGGGTCGGGTTGCCAGTTCGGTCTGAATCATCGTAGGCCTTGGGTTAAGGCAGGTTCGTGTGGGTTCACGGCCTTGATTAATAATATTGTATAGCTCTGGAATCGTGTTTACAAAATAGCTTTGAGCAACTAAGTGTCTTTTAATGCTGTTTACTGCAAAACCTAACCCTTTATATTACAACCCCCTTGTACTCCCTTGCATTTATCCTGCACTTGTGGGTGTGTCTTGTTGAGTACGGTGGTTGTACTCAGTCTTGCTCAATTTTTCCCAAACCCAGAAGAGGAGCCCCTGGAAGATGAAGGCTTTGGTGTCTAGCTCGTGCCTGCCGTCAAGCGCCTGCGGTCGTCGCCCTAGTCTTCCGCTGTTTCTCGTTTGTCTTTGTGTGTGCTGGGCCTTCGCCGCCCATGTAATAAATTAACTATTTACGCTTCCGCTTGATAAACTCTGAAATGTATCAACTTTTGGTGTACCTTGCCTCCTGGGACAAGGAATAATACACGCACGTAAGGAACGCCCGTTGGGTCAATTCCGGTCGTGACAGACGGGGCGGTGAGGAGCGAGCGAGCGAGCGGCGACGGTGGCACCCAGGCGTTCTCACCGCCCCGTCCTCCTTCCACACGTCGTCGCCTCCTCCTTCCTCCGCCCCATCGTCCTCACTGCGACTCGCCCGCCGCCCTATCTTCCCTCCCTTCCCCCCCGTCACCGCCTTCCGCCGCCCGGCGAGGCCTATCCTCCTCCCTCCGTCGTCACTGCCCCGTCCTCCTCCTCCCGTCGTCACCGCCGGCCGCCTCCGCCGCCGCCCGACCGGCTCTCCCGATGCTCTCCTCCCTCTCTCTCTCTCTCTCCACAGTTACATTTTGGGTACAAAAATCTCCAAAGTGGTATTTCATTCGGTAGGCAATATATTGAGTGGCATTTTATCCGGTGCATTGTATTGAGTAGCATTTCATCCGAACCCAGTTTAGGGAGTGGCATAACGTCCGTTTTCTCGGCAAATTGTAGCCTCGATTTGAAAAAAAAGGCAAAATCATGAACCCTAAAAAAAAGTAAAATTGTAATTACAATTGAAAGTAAGGTTAAGAATGCAATTGCTCCTTAATTTTTAGTTATTTGTTTGATATAATATAATAATCTAGTATTGAATGACCTATCTTAATAATACGACCTATAATGCGCTATGTTGTTATATTTTTAATTGAAGGAGTATAACAAATGGACAGTGAAAGGTATACGTGAAGGAAAGCAATAAGCCAATAAATAAAAAAATTGTACATCGTAAGTTTAGGATCGAATAAGACCAAAAAAAACCTACCAGATTTGGGGGGGGGGGTTGAATGGTAGGATAAACCAAAAACCTAAAATCTTTTGCGGAATAAAAGATTTACCTCGAATGGAGTAGATGACGAAGCTCGTCGCCACCGGTCAAAACACCCACCTGCCGCCGGTCAAACCACCGAAACCTTGCCGGTCAGACCGCCCAAACACCTGCGGTCAGACTGCTACACTCCCACCTGTCAAACCGCGCGCACACTGCAGCTAGACCGTCGGGACCTAGAAAACACCGGTAGATAATAAACTCAAAGATGTACATTGAAACTTTTAACTTTGTTGCATCAACTAGTATTTACAAAGTGCATCAACAGCAGCCCTCACAAAATCTCGAACTAAACTCGAAACCCTAACTTTTCTCTCAACTCAAGTCTCTCTAAAACCGATACCAGGAGGCCACACCCTCCCCCTCTATTTATACATGAGGTAGGCTGTGCAAAGCCCACGAATCTAACACAACTTAGAACTCCTAACCATGTAGGAAACACTCTCTTGCAAGTATCCAACTTATTCCTTTCCTTATCTCTATTAATCTTCCCGAATTCGGATCCTAAATTTGACTCCTCTTTCCATACGTACACAATCCCTCTTGTATATGTTGGTATTTAATACGGTTACAGATAAAATCCACAAGCGCACGGATATACCGATGTAGCACTTCCCCTACGAAGTATTCCAAGGGTATCGAATCCTAGGGAACGTGTGTGGTCAGATCTTCCTCCGGTTTATCCAAGGACACCAAGCAAATGATAGGCCAAGATAGAGAGGATTTACTAGTGAGAAACAGTGTCTAGGGAAAGCTTAACTTTAATCCTAACACAATATTTCAGGCACTGGCAACCCGCTGTTCCCAGATGTCGTTCTACTACGTACCCGGATTGGGAGGATTTAAGTGATCTCGAGGGCTGTCACCACCTCTACACCTACTTCAAACGTACTGTGGGATACGCAGCAATTACTGGATAATAATTACCTAAACACCACGTCTAAGCAGTTAGAATCTACTTTAGTGTTTATAACTAACCAAAGCAATCACTATATTTTAGTTGATTATAGTGAACAATAATCCCGTATGCTATTTAGGAACTAACCAAGAGATAATTCTCACAAGATAATATTATATTGAATTCAGAGTAATAAACAGAGGAGAAGATTACCGATAACTCCGGAATTCTTCCGACTTCTTCTACTATACTCTCTTCCTATTCTAGTATACAATATAGTACAATAGAGCCTCTTATAATTCAGCTCAATCTTGGAAGTGTGTGTGAGAGTGAATGAAGTGAGGTCCTTTTATAGGGCAGTTATGACGGTTGTGAGAAGGGGAAATGTCCGAACTGCCCCGCAACTGTGAGTTGGACGCCCTCGCACCCTCAGCACTGCCCGCAAGAGTACACGACCCCGGGCAAGAAGCCCAAGCCAGATCCGGAGGCCACCACCTCTGAGCCGTGGGGACTCAGATTTGCATGAGCATGCGATACCCTCTTCCCGCGCAAGGATCCTGCGGATGGTTGGACGACTAGAATGGAGGTCTACTGCGACTTCGCTCTCGCTTCATATGGTTTTTGGATAGCGCGAGACACACCCCCCACCTAGATTGACGAGTAGTTTGATGATTAGCTCGATGTAGCTTTTGGATGAACTCTATTTGGGCTGCGTACTTATGCAGTCGATTGCATCATGATTTATGTGCTATTTGTGGAACTCTGTGATATTCTTTATGATATTATTATTGTTGTGCTATGAATGAGTTTATTCCACCATGCTTGCTAAACAAAGTTCACATCAAAAGAACTCCCTTAACTGCAAGAGAACATCTAGAGCGTCCACGCCAAACCCCAGGATCAAGGGGGTTCGGCCGAACCTGGGCTGGGCCCTCCTGGCCTAGCCTTCGGTCGGTGGACTCCATGGACCTTCCTCTATCCATTTCTCGGAGTTTTTGGGTTGATTTACTGATGTTTGGATGAAGTTAACAACCCCTCCTTGTATGGATACATAATTTTCCTCACTTTAGTCTGATTTGCCTCCCAACTTCAGGGTTTATCTTCTGCATACAACTGTACACACCAACACTTGTGGAATATGTGAGATTAAGCACCTATCACTATGTTGGATGTTTTATTATCTAAACTTTATGCAGATGTTGGCGGTATAGAATCAGCATTTAACATCCGCCAACAGTATACTATATAGATTCTTTATCACCACGTCCATTGTTCTCTAGCCTTTTAGTATCGTGCATGATCTTTGAAGCATCTAGGCCCCCGTTGTTAGTTTTGGTAATTAATGACAAGCGCTAATTGTGGACTAACCGTTCTATCGAGTTATGTGTTTTGAGTTAGGTTCACATCATGTGTGCGCATGGATAATTATCGATGGACTAAAAATTGATGGCGCAAAGCAAAGTATAGATGACGGTAAACTAGTAGTTGAGTTCTAAATCGATCGAGGTGTTGGTCAATCAATTTGTGCTAGTTTATTTATAGCTTTACTGTACTATTAAGAGGGGTAATGACCTAGCAAAGAGATGATTTAAATTGCCACATTAGATTATTATGCATTTAGATTTGGCTTTGTCTCATTTTCCTGTTGTGCTTGCTGTGTGACCAAGGCCGGTCTGACCGGCCGCCTAGTGGTGGTCTGACCGGCGTAGGTCGGCCGATTTGACCGACGGGTGAATGCCGGTCAGACCAGCCAAGGGGACCTCTCCCTGTGGTGCTCTCGGCGTGGCGATCTAGAGCCGCATTCAGTCAGACCGAGCTGGGGGCGGTCTGACCGAGCCGAGGCCAGTCTGACCGGCCACCCAACTCCAGTCTGTCCGGCCAAGCCGATGGGGCCCAATGACAGCCTACAACGGCTAGAAAACTAGCCGTTGTAGAGTAGCATGGTCTGACCGGCCACACACATCCGGTCAGACCGGCAGTACATAGAGTTGGGGGATTTCGCCCCCAACGGCTAGTTTTGGTGGGTGGGAGTACTCCCCCACCAGCATCAAGGGGCCAAACCCTTTTCATCACACCGAAAGGGTGTTAGACTAACCAAATTTGAAAGTCGGTGTGATGAAAAGGGTTTCTTCTAGGATATGCCTCCAATAGCAAGGCATACCTGGTCTACAACAAGAACAAAGTTATTGTGTAAGAAACCGCCGATGTTCAATTTGATGAGACTATTGGCTCCTAAGAGGGGCACGGGAATTTGGATGATGTAGGTGATGAAGGCTTGATAAGAGCTATGAAGAACATGTCTATTGGAGATGTCAAGCCTATTGAAGTGGAAAACAAGCCATCTACCTCCACTCAAGATGAGTTATCTACTTCCGCTATGCCAAGAAAAGCTCAAGTTGAAGTGGAGGAGGAGAAGGCACAAGATCCACCTATGCTAACAAGGATACACACCGCTCTTTCCAAGGATCACCCAATTTACGAGGTTTTGGGTGACATTAGTAAGGGTGTCCAAACTCGATCTCGTGTCGCTTCGATTTGTGAACATTACTTGTTTGTTTCTTGTCTTAAGCCAAAACATGTAGATGAAGCTCTTGGTGATCCGGATTGGGTAAATGCTATGCATGAAAAGCTCAACAACTTTGCAAGAAACAAGGTATGGACTTTGGTTGAAAGACCTAGAGACCACAATGTCATAGGGACAAAGTGGGTCTTTAGGAACAAGCAAGAGAGAACGGGTTGGTGGTGAGAAACAAGGCAAGATTGGTGGCGCCAGGCTTCACACAAGTTGAAGGCTTGGATTTCGGTGAAACTTTTGCCCCCATGGCAAGACTTGAACCCATTCGTATCCTTCTTGCATTTGCATCATATTTTGATATAAAACTTTTTCAAATAGATGTGAAAAGTGCTTTTCTAAATGGTGAAATTGCCGAACTTGTCTTTGTTGAACAATCACCCGGTTTTGAAGACCCTAAAAATCCTAACCATGTTTATAAAATCTCAAAAGCTCTTTATGGTTTAAAACAAGCTCCTAGAGCTTGTTATGAAAGATTGAGAGATTTTCTTTTGTCAAAGAATTTCAAAATTGGAAAAGTTGACACCACCCTTTTCACAAAAATCATTGGTGATGATTTCTTTGGTTGCCAAATTTATGTTGATGATATCATATTCGGTTCTACTAATGAGGTATTTTGCAAGGAGTCTGGTGATATGATGTCTAGGGAATTTGAGATGTCCATGATTGGAGAGTTGAGCTTCTTTCTTGAACTTCAAATCAAACAACTCAAGGACGGGACGTTCATGAGCCAAACCAAGTACATCAAGGATCTACTCAAGAGGTTTGGCTTGGAGGATGCGAAGCCCATCAAGACACCTATGGCAACCAACGGGCATCTCGACCTTGATGAGGAGGAGGGGGGTAAACCGGTAGATTTAAAGCTTTATCGTTCTATGATTGGTAGCTTGCTTTACCTTACCGCATCTAGGCCGGATATCATGTTTAGTGTTTACATGTGTGCACGGTTTCAAGCCGCTCCTAACGAGTGTCACTTAGTGGCCATGAAAAGGATTCTAACATATTTAAAGCATTCCTCAACTATTGGCTTGTGGTAGCAAAAAGGTACTAAGTTTAAGCTAGTTGGCTATTCCGATTCGGATTATGCCGGTTGCAAAGTGGATAGAAAGAGCACATCCGGTAGTTGCCAAATACTTGGTAGATCCATTGTGTCATGGTCATCCAAGAAACAAAACTCCGTAGCCCTCTCTACTGCCGATGTGGAATATGTTTCGATGGGTAGTTGTTGTGCCCAATTGCTTTGGATGAAACAAACCTTGTTGGACTATGGTATATCCTTCACCAAAACCCCACTCCTATGTGACAATGATAGTGCCATAAAGATAGCCAACAATCCGGTCCAATATTCTAGAACCAAGCATATTGACATTCGCCATCACTTCCTAAGAGATCATGTTGCCAAGAGTGACATAGTCATTAGCCACATAAGAACCGAGGATCAACTAGCTGACATCTTTACCAAGCCTCTTGATGAAACCCACTTTTGCAAATTGAGGAATGAGTTAAATGTGATTGATTTCTCTAATGTGGCTTGAGATTGTGCACGATGGTTGCTTCTTGTTCATTTTGCCTATTTGCTCTTATTTGTGCTTATGCTTTGGATTTATTGTCATTTGGCTCTTATTTGCGAAAATGGAGCATGTCACATTAAGGGGGAGTTTTGCACTCTTACATGTGCTCTAACTCTCTTTGTGTGTGAGCAAATAAACTAGAAGTCAACATAAGTCAAAACTTTTGCAAAATCAAAGTAATTTGAAAACTATCTCTTGAAAAATATTTCAAAAGGTTCCCCATATGTTTTCCAAGCCTCACATTGCAAGAAAAATGAAGTTTCAATGAAAATGCCCTTTTGGTCCTCTTTTGAAGAAACTAGATTTTTATTTTTGGCCAAAATGGGATTTATCTTCAAAATGAGTTTGAGGAGGAATTTGAGAAAAGTGTTAAACAAAGTTGGTAGAGGAGAAGGTTTCAAATGTTTTTGGTATTCAAATCTATTTCAAAAACCAAATCATTTAAAAGTTATTTGAAAATCAGTTTAGCCAAAAAAACCCTATAGACCATAATAGGTCACCTCCTAGCACTTAAGTGAGTTTAGTTGCAAGTCTTCATAATTTTCAATTATTATGGATGATAAGAAATATTTCAACTCATACATTTCAAAATTGCTCCAAAAAAATTTTTTTTGTTGGATTTTATTGTGTGGGGGTTGCCGGCTTGTGCAAGGGCTGTGCACAGCCGGCAGCGGGCCTGGCGGTCTGATCCCGGTCTGAATGGCCAGGTGTAACGCCCCGATTTTCGTTCGGGATTAAAAATCAATTAATAAATCATTTTCTATAAATTAAATAAAAGTTAAAGCAATTTAATGAAGTGGAATAATGGGAGAATTAAAATTTTCCCTTAAAAATCATTGGCCGGAAATATTTTGCAATATTCTCTGTGCCCTAAAGTACTCTCCGGATTTTTCCGCGAATTTTCAGAGCTCATGAAATGATTTTAAAGTCACAAAGTTCATTTAACCAATTACATAAAAAGAAAAAACAAATAAAATTCCCTCTCCATCCTTTTGGGCCGCCCTCGGCCCAATCCCTCTCCCTCCTTCTTTCCCCTCCAGCCCGGCCGCCTCCCACCCCTCTCCTCTTTGGGCCGCTCGGCCCGCTCGCTCCCCCTCTCTCCCTAAGTCCACATAAGCCCCCCGACCTCCTCTCTCCTTCCCTCGCCTACAGGTGGACCCGAGGCCCCGCCTGTCAGCTCCTCCCCCTTCCTCCAGCCACCTCGCCAGCAACCGCCCGTGGCCGCCATTGTCGCCCACTCCGTCGCAAAATCCGCACCACCCCGCCCCTCCCGCTCACGCCCAAGTGGTGGAACTGCACCCCCACCACCTCCTCCACCATTTCACCAATTTTCCACCAAGAAAACGGCACCGGTTTGCCCCGCCACGCGCCCACGTCGCCACCCCACACCGCCGGTGGTTGCCGCCCCGAATCCGCATCGCCCCAGCCCACTGTCGCCCTCCCGCGCCCATAAAACTCCTCCCCACACTCCCCTCGCTCGTTTCCCCAACTTTCCTGAGCCCATCGGGCCTTCTCCCGCTCTCCCCGCGCGAGCCCGAGCTCCGCCGCTCGCCGCCGTGCTTCCAGCCGCACGCCACTGCCGCTCCAGACGCCGTCGCGCCACGCCGCCACCACCATTTGCATCGCCGTGCCATGCCACACCCTGGCCCCTACTCCTTTTCCCGTCTCCGCCTCCGAAACACTGCCGCAACGCGCGCCCGAGCTCCGCCGCCCGTCGACGCCCTCTAGCCGGTCGCCACCGTTGCTCCCGCCACCACCGCTCCGCGCAACCGCCACCGACGGCTTCGCTGTGTCATGTCGTACCCCGGCATCCCCTCCGCTCCTCCATTCCGCCGCTGGAACCGTCACTCCACCACACCACCCGAACCGCCACCATAGCAGCCACCTCTAGTCGCCTCTCGACGCCGTTCCCGACCACCTCGCGCTGTGTCGTCGCCTTCCTCGGCACCGCAGTCATCGTGCGTAGCCCGTCCAGCCCTCCCTCCTCGCGAATCATCGTGAGAGACCGCTTCCCTCCGTCCAAGGTGAGCTTCGCCGATCCTTGCCGCTTCCGGCTAACATTTCCCTCGGCGCCGTGCCTGTTCTTTGCTCCCTAAACTCCCTGTCTTCTTCTCCAGGTTCTTCCGGCCGCTGTCCGCGAGTTCCCGCTCGCGGAAGGCCGCCGGAGCGCCATCCGCTTCGCCTCCTCGAGGAGCGCCGCCGCCTCTACCCATCGCCAGCCACCTCCGGCTCCGCCTCGTCGGCCCGCACGCTCACAAAGATTATATTTATGATAACTCGATGAATTACATGAACAGGATTAGAGTGTCATAAAGATGGAAGCACTAATCCTGATAACGCAAGCCGTCATGACAAGTTTACCTCTAGTTGAAGATCGAATCGATGAAGCTCAACCCGAAAGTAAGAACTCGTCGAAATAGAACAAAAGTAAAAAGGGTGGCGATGCACCGAAAGTGTATTGATCGTCTGATAATTGATTACATGGGTTCGGGTTCTATTTATACCCGAGATTACAAAATATGTCCCTGCCGGACACGACACTTATCTCTAACAAACTCTAAAATACCATAAGTCTTTGCGGCAGACTTTTGCCCAAACATATCTCTAAGGAAATTACATGAAATATCCTAATTAATAGATACAATTTCCTATCCAAGAGCTTTATCTCTATCGTGGCAATCCTCGTGAAGCACTTTGATCGTTTCTAGAAAAATCCTTGAAACCATCGTCATCAGAATCGGCTACATCACCTCTATCAGCTGTATCGGATGTCCTCTGTCCGATCCATCTTAGCCGATGCAGACTCCAGCCGATGCCTTTGCAGCCGATGCATACTCTGTTCTTCGAATCTATCTCTTTACCGAATCCGCCTCGATTCCAATGTCGAACCTGGTTCATATCTTACCAAATTTGGTCGTCAACACATGCCCCCCAAGTCCGCTATATTTGTAATTATTTGTAATGTGGCGGATTTTCTCAAATTTCTTTTCCGAGCCGATCTAGGGTTTCAAAAACCGATTCCGTTTTGGCCGTTACAGCGCTCCCTTTTAAATAGTAACCACCGCTCTTCTCGTTTCACGGCGTCACTTCCGTTTTAACCGCTCTAGCCAAAAACTTTCCCCAATATTCTCCTTTGAGTTCTCCGGCGACACCCTTCAAGCTTTCTGGCGATCCGCAGACGATTCCGACGATTCCAATCTCTGCCAACGACAATGTCAACCTTCGCTAGTCCACCGAGCTCATCGGCCACCGAATACGTCGAAGTAAGTACCCATCAGCTAAATCCCTTCTTTTCCTCATAGATTTGGTTCTTCTTTCGCTCAATCCTCGATTTTCCTCCTCTGTAGCATCTCACCCACCAGGTTGCAATTCCTAGCGTAGCCGATGAATTCCAGTTTTTCCTTGGCCCAATCGGCAACTTAGACCCCATAGAGTTCATCAATGGAGAAACCAACCGAATCCCCTTTAGATTTGCCAATCCAGATCTTAGCCCTTGGAAAGGCACCTTCAAATCCTGGCCATCAACCGAAGTCAGCTGGCTTGCCTGGTACAAGAGGATGTTGGCTAGCAAATTAGCCCACTGGGACGAAATCGACATATCGCAAGCTTTGGCCTTAACTGCAGCAAGTATGGCAAGGAATGAACCCATGATGATAGCATCCACCTATTTTTGGTCCACAGCCATGAACACGTTCCTTTTCTCTCAAGGACCGATGACCCCAATACTATTAGATATCATCATGATCACTGGTCTAGGTCTAGATATCACTTCATCAGCTAACTTGTCCAGCCTGAACACCTAACTTACCCATGAGTTCAAAACCAGAAGCATAGGTGGTTGGTCAGGTTATGTTGCCAAGAAGATGGGAACTAGGCCGGTTACCCCAAGAGTGATGTGACTGGGCCGGTTGCCATGAACACAGCTTTTCTTATGATGTGGCTGGAAAAGTTCTTATTCTGTGGTCCAACCTATGGTCCGACCGCAAACTGGTAACGGGTAGATGAAAATCTGGTAGAAAAGAAGCATTTTCCCCTTGGCAAGTATCTGCTGGGCTACTTGTATCAGACCCTCAATACTGCAATTGACAAGATAGCCTCTGGAAAAACAATCGGCACAGGGGGTCCATCGTGGTTACTCCAAATTTGGCTGAATCTTCATACCAGAAAAGTTGCCAATCAGCCAGCACTAGCCAATGTAGAATTCCCAAGATTTGAGCCGATCGTCAGGGACGATGGAGAAACAAGCACCACATGCTGATGATGTATGTCCTTCGGAGAAGCAGCATCGGTTAGCGCCGTGTCCAAGCTATCGACCGAACCTTTCAAGGAGTGGTTCAACAATTTCTATGATGGGTTCCCCAAGAATGATAGGATCTGGTTTGCATATGAAGGATCTGCTAGCTTTGAACTAACATGTGATTTTCGATTCGATGAAATCAACTCTGAAAAATATGATAAATCCAGAGAAGTATTCTCAACAGCTATCAGCCCCTGTATCATCCCTGTTGGCATCTATCAAGATAAGAATATCCAGATGACCTACGAATTCTATCATCCAACAAGCGCTGCAAGGCAATTCGGCATGGGTCAACTGCCAATTAGCCTATTCTTTGCCGACAGGATTCAAAGTAGAGGAGAGATTTCATCATTCCATATGATGGATTGGCTGCTGAATCTACCAGGACCACCTCTTGGCAATATTGACAACATCAAACTAAGGACATTCAGGAGCATGGCCTTTGACCGATGGTGGATAGAATGGAAAAAACACCTGTTCCATCAATCACCGTCCATGTATTTGACAAACCTTTTCCCTGACGATGTCCCACTGGTAAAATTCTCACCTTCTGTTAATTTTATCAACTACAAGCCGATGCATTTTTAACTTATGCGATCTTGTTCGTTGTAGACAATAGAATCTTCGTGCCCAGAAATTCACTAGTAATTTCCGAACTAATTTGTGCATGAAATCCTCGTCCAGGAATCAGCCGAGGTACACAAACTGACAATTTAATATACAGATTCATCATAATAATAATGTTACATACTTACAAAAGAAAAGAGAAAACAACAGCGGAATTACGGTCTAGCGAAGCTCCGGCTCCACTCCCACAGGCAGCTCAACTAGGGTATAAGCCAAACGTCTTCTCCTTCGCAACTTGTCTTCAACCGAGGTTTGATTGATTATTGCAAGGTGAGTACATGGAATACTCCGCAAGCCGCACAACAAATATGCAAGTGTACAAGGATACCAAACAATGGCATAATATATGGCTCATTTGCAAAAGCAGCATTTAGCAAACATTTAAGAATTGTAAAACAATAGAGTAATTAATCATCAATATTAATCAACACTGAACAGCACACCCATGCTGCACAGGCCCAACCAACCTGAACAACCATACCCGGCTGTACAGATCTATCTCCAAACCAGGAATGCACCATTCCAAACCAGGAGCTAATCAAATTATTACCAGTTATAGCATCATTTATTATGGTGAGAAGTATGAGACTAATCACGAAAGACATTATTAGACCCGCCCATGACCGCGGGCACGGCTATTCGAATAGTTTTACTCTGGCCAGAGGTGTACCACTGTACCCACAGGACACAACTCCACAATATGTCACCATATCATCATGTGCCCATGCTGAACATGTCACCATTTGTGTAGTTGTGAAAAGACCCCTCGCATAGCTCAACTGAAAGCAGCGCACCTTTCCAGGATCGTAGTCACCCCCTCAAAAACCAGAGGCATGGACTCCCCAGCGACACCCGTGGGCTTATCTCCGCCACTTCTCAGTCTGGCACACCACAATGAGCCTTGCTATACAAAGTGTCCAACCGTTGCGCATTCTGGCTTGTGGTTGGCACGGCTAATGTTTTACAACCGAAACTCGTGAACCGGTCCTTAATTGTCATGAGCACTACTATCAAAACCATGTGCTCACATCCCACCATTATCAAGTTTTAGTTGGCAAATTAATTAATTAACCAATCACTATTAACCATCGTGAGATACAATTAAATATCCATCATTAAGTAATAGTGAAACATTAGTTATCCCAATTGTGTGCTAATGTTTCTAAGCATGGCTAAGCAATTACATCTAATACATCTAGTTGAACCATTATATAAGTACAACTAGTCAAATTGTAATCCAAGGTATCAAAGGATAGAGTAATCAATGCAAAGTGGCCATAACAAAGGAATAGTTTCACACCAGCCGGTGACATTCGAAAATAAATGTACAGTTGAAATAAATAGAGAATTTAAATATAGGATCAACATGCTCAAAGGAATTGTGTTTGGGATCTGTGTGACTTGCCTTGCAATAAAGGGTCTTCAATTAATCTTCTTGAATACTTCCGACGCACTCACGATCCTTCAAAACGACGGAAACGACAAGCTAACACGCAAAACGAGAAAAAAGACTAATAAAAACCAAATAAACAATACATATAAAGTAAACAAACATGTAGATCAAAATTTTTGATCAATTATGAGACTTGAACGGCCTCATTCTGACTTCATAAGAATTAATTACCAATTTTACAAGATTAAATATAATTAAAGCCTATTTAAAAAGGATTGAATAAATTTAACACAATTTATTGATAATTTTAATATATAGATCTTTATTTTATACAACTTTTGCAACTTGAACCGCATTAAACCGAGTTACAATGTATTAGTTATGAATTTCTAAAGAATAAACCGCATTAAAGCATTTATATGGATTTTAATTGAATTATGGCGCAATAAAGAATTATTTTTGAAAAGGAAAAGAGATTTATTGCGTCATCAAGGACGGTCCACGGTAAACCGGGTTCACAGAAGCGGTCCACGGAACCAACGGCCAAGATCTAATTGACCTAAACTTGACCGAATCGGACGGCCGAGATCGATCCGGTCTACCACGGGTCTACGGCTGACAAAGCGCTGACATCAGCGATGATGTCATCGCCGACAGCGGCTCGGCACACTATGCTCGTCAGCACAAACGGAGGGCACCAACAGGTAGGGATCGGCACAGTGAACTCACCGAGCACTTGGGCGACGGCAAACAAAGGCGGCGGCTGAGACGGCGGCGGTCTTCGAGTCAGTGGTGACGGCAGTGCTCCGGCGGGAAACGGCGGCAACGAAGGGGTGGACAAGGTGCGGCTCCTCCTTGCGATCTCGACGGTGGCGACAGCGACCGAAGGCGGCGGCTGAGACGGCGGCGCGGTGTGGCTGGATCGACGATGATGGTGGAGAGCTTCGAGTCGACGGTGCCGGCGGCGCTCCGATGATCTGCGGCGGAAACGGAGGACGGGACGAGGACGGCGACGACATCGCGATGCTGATGAAGGAGACGGCGACCGACGGCGATGACCGAAGCGACAGCG